TCTCTTGAAGTTGATTTTTATAGGAAATAGAAAGTCCTATCCTAATTCTAATCCTATCTCTTTATCTCTTGAACTCAATCATTTTATCACTCTAAGATTACATCAAGAATTTAAATCTAGAAGGATTCTTCTTAGTTTCTTGTTCTTGGATTCGTAATAGACCTCCTCTGCGAATTGGGCTTCAGCTAGGCTTTTCTGCGAGTTGGGCTTTAGCTGCGGATTGGGTTTTCCTATGAATTTGCCACGACTTCGGGCCCAGAATTGACTTTGATGCAAGCCGAATCTGCGAAATCCCAAAACATAAAAGTTGTGGCTTTTTCTCTCATCTTTCCAGTGGATCTTGATTCAGCCCATTCAGAGTTCGGAGACGTGAGTTAGGCCCAAATCACTGAACGATGTCAAAACTGTGAAAAATCATCCGATTTGTCTTTCTTTGCTCTTGATGCCTTGTTTCATACCCTGAACCAAAATACAAGAAATATGAGTCTAATTAGCTGCTAATTTAGTATAAAAGACAGAATAATCGGGGATAAAAATATGATGAATTCTACTCTCATCAATGGCACCAATTTGGTAAAAACGAACTAAGATAGAAATTTTGTGATGATGCTATATCGATAAATATTTACTAAGTTGGGTTGGTGGTGTCACCTCTGATTCTTATGTGTCTTGAAATGGTCCCAACTTGCGTAGAACTTATTAGTTTCATTCTGTGTTGCATCATCCTCTCCCTATACGTACTAAGATTGGTCTTCAAAAACCAACTTTGTAAATGTTTACCCAATTGGTCTGAATCTCATACTGCAATATTCTCTCTCACTAATACCTGTTTTTAAGGTATTTTTGTTTCTTTCCACAAAATTCCACAAATTAAATCTATACCCATAATTTTAAATGTAAAAAACAATGGAGAAACAAAATTATTTTTCCACTCAGGTGACAAATTAGTGGTTTAACTATTCTGGTCAAATAGGTTAACCCACGACATAATCAAAAAATAAAAATTTAAAATTGGACATCTCCAATAATATATATATATATATAGATAGATAGATAGATAAATTTACACGCATATCTAATAATATTACATATTAATCGTATTAAACAAAAATAGCCATGATATATTTTACTAACAATGAAAATGGAATGCACAACATTAAAAAATCCAATAACCCCACTGTTTGACCTAGTACTAGGTCACCACGTCATTGACCAAGTTAGTGTTGTTGTTGTGTAGGAAAACAATTTGGAGGTGAAATGAACCAAAAATATCGGTAGGGTGATAAACCAATTGATCCAAGCGGTCAATTCAACCTCAGCTTGAATACTAACATAAAATCAATGAAAAAAAACATTGGAACTGCATTTCCCTCTCCAAGTGACAAGTCAGCAGTTAAACCATCTGGGAAATATATATATAGACAGAGAGAGACTTACAAAGGTAAAGAAATAAAACTTTGTTAATATGTATTATTATTTACGGAAGATGTTTCCAATGCACGGTGGGATGTGATTGTGAGATCATTATGAGGCACCTAGTGTGGAGAGCAGATCCCAGTTCCAATTAAGGTATTTTCCCAAATATTAACTAGAAAGTACTACCAAGTTGCAAATAAGGAGGTTGCTTGTAAGAAATCACGTCGTGAAAGTGAAAATATGGAAATAGTGGAATGCAGGTTGGGATCTATTAAATGTTTGCTAAGTAGATTCTAAAATGATAAATATCACTATTCAATCAAAATTGAGCATTGATTTAATATCTGATATTTAGATTTTCATAGCATGTACCTTATTTTGGAAATAGAACATTTTTCAAGGTATTTAATGTAGACCAAAGATATGAGGGATATGGCTATTAAATACTTATATCTTGTACTGGCATGCATATATTCATCTTAGAAAGCAGAAATTCTACATCGTGTTTATCTATTTATTAGTTTATTTAAACCTCTAAATTGCCTTAGGTGGTGGATGGGGCAACTTGAGAGTTGTTTTAATTGATAAAAGAAAAAGAACTAAAACTAAGAGGGGGATTAGACCTTAAACCTAAACACCTATTTATAATAGTAGGGTTGGATTTGAGCCGAGCTGAGTTGAATATTTGGCTATTCGAGCTTAGCTTGTTGAAACTGCATTAGGTCCGAGTTTGAACTCGAGCTCGATTTGAGTTAGAATTATAAAAATATTTTTTATTTTACATATAAAAAATTAAGAATTATAAAAATTATTTACTATTATATATAAAAAATAAAAATACTATATATAAAATATTATTATATAAAATAAAAATATTTATTATATATATTTATATGCATATGTATGTATGTATGTATGTATGAACATATGTATGTATATAATAAAAAAATATTTATTTATTATAATAGACTCGAGCTCGGCTCAATTAGCAAACGAGCCTATATATCAGACTCGAACTCGCTCAATTAGCAAATGATATATATATATAGATATATATCAGGCTTGAAGCTCGGTTTAAACCGAGTCAAACCGAACTTTTCACGAACCGAGTTCAAATAGTTCGTGAGAAGCTAGGCTCGTGGCCACCCCTATACAAGAGTATAGCACATAACTCCCTCCAAAGTCTCACATGCATGAACCTATATAGAATTGATTCATGCAACTCAATCTGTCATTTCTTCATGTTAGCCATCCATGTAGCTAAAGCCTTAATGAGTTAAAGACTTTATAATGGGGGATTTTATAGCAATAAATTAATCTCTCTTGGAATGTAAAACTAAATAAATAAAATGAAAACAAATGAAAAGATAAAGAAAAAAGAACAACGAAACTGCCCAAACCAGCACAGTTATTAGTCCACTAAAGTTCAAAATTGCCAACCAGGAGAAATATATTTCAATACTTTGAACATTAAAGTTTTAAGATTTTTAGCATCTTCAATTAGTATGGCTTATAAATGCAAAGTAAAAGAAACCAATGAGTCTGTAAATAAATCTGTGGAGTGATGCCTTTTAGATACCAACCCTTTTAACGCCCATATCTTCCCTAACATTGTTCTCACTTTGAGTTCATTCCATTCCAATTCTCTTTAGTCTTGTCTACTTGTTTTGGTTATGTATTCCAATTCTCTATATTAGTCTTGTCTACTTGTTTTGGTTATGTATTCCAATTCTCTATATTAGTCTTGTCTACTAGTTTTGGTTATGTTGAAGAAGACTGCCAAGGGTCGTCAGAAGATCGAAATCAAGAGGATCGATCGCGAAGACTGCCGAAATGTGACATTCTCAAAGCGCAAAAGTGGGATTTTTAAGAAAGCAAGTGATCTTGTAACCCTCTGTGGTGCTGAGACTGCTATTATTATGTTCTCTCCAGGAGGCAATGCGTTCTCCTTTGGCCACCCTAAGGTCGAACATGTAATAGATCGGTTTCTCACCCAAGAAACCATACCAGAGGATGGTACTGGTACCCTCCCACCTGTTGATGAATCCTACCATGAGGTTGCAATGAGTGAACTCAATCGACAATACAATGAGCTCAGAAACCAATTGGAAGCTGAGGAGAAGAGAAGGAAGATGCTAGAGAAAAAGATCAAAGCAAACCAGGCTCAATCTTGGTGGGAATCAGATATTGAAAAGGTTAGCTTACATGAGCTTGAGAGATTAAAGGTGGCAATGGAGAATCTTAAATATAGCTTAGTTAACAAAACTGACGAGTTGCTTATGGAGTCATCATCTTCACTATCACCATTCTTGGCTATCAACTCATTGGTTAATCCTTTCATCCACCAATCAACTAGGAACAATACTTGTATTATTTCTCATGGTCATGGTTTACTTTGTGGTCATAATACATCAACTAGTCCCTATGTTTTTGGTTTGTGATAAAGTTATTCCCCTATTTTATGTTATTTCTATTGATATCGTATTTTAATCTAGACTTCTTTTCCCGTATTAATTGGGATTTTGAAATGGTTTTTGATGCCAAGGGGATTGCATCCTTTATGGCCTGGATATTTGGACTTCGCAGTACTGATAGTATATCGCTGTTTATGTAAAGAATAGACTAAAATTCAATAGAATGAAAACCAGGTATTGGTAGTCCTCTACACAATATGGAAGCTAGACTTTTATCAATTCTGAGAAATATTCTTCACCCAATTAACCATACTACAATCTCAAACAAGTTACATTCTTCCAAATATGTTGTGATCTCATTCCCTAAATATCTATACTCCGCTTCAAACACATGGTGATTCAAATTGACAGAAGAAGCTGACATTGATGAAATTGAAACTAGCGATAAGAACAAATTAAAGCAAGAGAAATCATAGATCTAGTGGGTAGAAAACTTGAGTTTCAGCTGCCATTTCAGTTCGAGCCTCCACTATTTGAGTTTCAGCTCTCATAATATATTCCAAGTTATATAAAAGTTAAAGATTCCATGTATCCAGATTTCAATCATCTAGGGTAGGTTTTCACTTCTACATAAAATGTAACTTATGTTTCTACCCTAAAACAAAATGTTACATTATACGTACCAAATAGGGCTGTCAATGAACTCAGTCCAAAAACCAATCTGATTATTTTTTTATTTCGATCTTAATTGAAATATATATATAGAGAGAGAGAGAATGTATTATAATGTATAATTAATAAATTCAATATATATGTATTAATTTATTATATACGAAGTAAGTTCAAGTCTGATATGTAAGCTTTTGGATTAAATTCGGATTTGAAGTACAATAATTGTATAGGATTTAGATGTGGCTGAACCTGATGTGAATCCAATCCAATTACATCCCTCTTACTAACACCATGCAAAGTCTTGCTTTGCTTGCCAAGGCTACAAGGATAAGCGCTGAAGTGTGTGATAGAGTATAATATCTTTGTACTAGAAATCATCTAAGCCTTATCCCAATTATATGGGTCAGCTACACGAATCCTGTTTTGCCAATCTGCTCTACTCATATCCAATGTCAAATTATTAGTGCTTAAATCATTTCTTGCTATTTCTACCCATTTTCTCATTAGTCTCTCCCTAGCTCTTCTAGCCCCTTTCACGTGGTCTTTCGTGCATGTGACGAACCATCTTATCCTACTCTCTCTCTCTCTCTCATTTTATCACTTATTAGAGCCACTCTTGTGTTTTTATAAGTTGTTTTTCCACTCGTCCATCTTAGCATTAGCATTTCTACACTCATTATTTGAACATGTTGTTTCTTGAGCCCAACACTCTACTCCATACAACATATAACTGGCCTTACAACTATTTTATAAATGGTATTCTCCTACCACACAAAAGTCTATGTGCACCCTTTCATTTTTCCGAACCTACTTTAATTCTTTGAGTGACATCCTCCTTAATCTCTTTCTTGTTATGAATCATTGAACCAAAGTACTAGAAATGGCCACATTAAATCTCTTGGTTATCCATCCTAAGTGTATCTTGATTTATACTCCTATTACTACTAAATTTACATTCCATATACTCTGTTTTAGTCCTACTTATTTTAAAACTTTTTGTTTCTAGGGCATTTGTCTATAAGTTTAATTTTGCATTTAATCATTCATATTTTCATCAATTAAAATAATGTCATCCACAAACAACATGTACCATAGAACTTCTTCCTGAATGTGTTTAGTCAATACATTTATGACCAATGCAAATAGATAAGGGGTAAATGTTGAACTTTGATGAAAACCCATTATAACGTTAAAATCTAAAGTTTCTCCCATTAGTGTTCTAACATTAGTTGTTGCCCCTCATACATATTCTTAATTAGGTCTATATGCCTATTTTGAACTCCTTTTTTTTCCAAGACCCACCATATTATCTCTCTAGGAACTTTATCTTAAGCCTTTTGTAGATTAATGAATACCATATGAAGATCTTTCTTTGCCTCTTTAAACTTTTCTATCAATTGTCTCAAAAGAAATATACCTTCCATATTTGATTTCCCTAGCATAAAGTCAAACTAATTCTCTAGTACACTTCTTTCAAGTCCTAATCTTTGTTTAATTATTCTCTCCCAAAGTTTAATAATGTGACTCATGAGTTTAACTCTTCAATAGTTATTATTATATCTCTAATCATCAAGCATCCTCTTTTCCTTTACCATCTTATCAAGCATCCTCTTTTCCTCTTTTCTTTTAGAATACCATTATATCGTAACGCATTTCCCTTCTTCATCTTCTTTAGTACCCTTTTTTTTACTTCAATAGGTCTAACTTTACGAAGGTATCTATTATTTTTAATACTATTAGTATTGCTAATTTCCCCTCCATTAACACCCTCTCCCTATTATTCATTTAATTATATTTCAAAATAGTTTTTTCCATTTTTGTTTGATTTTATCATCTTTTACTAAGATTCTTTGACCTTCATAATCACCTAACATAGTTTAAATCCTTGCCTTTCCTTTTACTAAGATTTTCTAGTTTATACATTCCATTTTTTTCTTTTTATTTTCGAATTTATGGTAAAGTTAAGCCCTACATTTAACTTCATTCACTTTCTTTTTAACTTCATTTCTTATGACTTTGTATTTTTCCCAATTTTCTAAATTTTTATCTTTTTTTCATTCTTTGTAACATGCTTGTTTTAATTTAATTATATTTTGAATCTCCTCATTCCACTACCAAATTTCCTTAGTACTTTTTCATTTTTCTTTATATTCCTGCAAGACCTCCTTTGCTACTTTCTTTATGTTGTTTACCATTTCAAGCCAAATATTATTAATATTTTCATCTAAATTCCAATTCCCTTATATTCTTCTATTATCAATTTATTTCTAAATTGAGCTAGCTTTTCTCCTTTTAAGTTTTCCTACCTAATTCTTGGTTACTTATTTTCTTCCCCATTTATCTTCTATTTTCTAATGCACACATCTATCACCACTAGTTTATGTTGTGTTGTTAAACTTTCTCCTATAATAACTTTGCAATCTTTACACATTATTCGTTTTTTATTCTCCTAGTAAAAAAAAAAAATCTTTTTGGCTTATGTTCGATTCACTTTTAAATGTTATGTTAGAAAAAGGTGTTTAAAATTGTCATATCAAAAGCTACTATAAAATCTAATATTCTACCTCCTAATTCATTCCTCTCCCCAAAACCAAATCCTCTATATATCATATCATATCCTACACTTTTGTTTCCTATATGCCCATTTAAGTCTCCTATAAAAATCTTTTCTTCATTTGGAATTTTTTAATATTTTCTTCTAAACCTACTTAAGGTGCATAAGCACTAATTATGTAAATAATTTTTTCACCTAAAACAAGTCTAATTAAAATTATTCTATCTTCAATCCATTTAACATTTAAAATTTCATTTTTTTAAATCAATATCTACTATTATCCCTACACCATTTCTATTATTCACCTCTCCCATATATCCTAATTTGTAACCATCAATTTCTTTAGTTTTTTTCCCTTTCCATTTAGCTTCTTATAGTAATTACATATTAACTCTTCTCCTCTTCATAGTGTATACTAATTTCATAGTTTTTCTATTAATGTTCCTACATACATTTCAAGTGGCTAAATGAAGTTGTGTTTCTTGGATTAACTTCCCCTGCCCCATCTAAAATAATGCAAAAGCTTGTACCTACTTGACACCATAGTCGAATGTTTCTATAATAGGTCACTTAGGGGACCATCCTAGCAGACCTTTGCCTACTTAACACTACACTCATGCTAATATGCAACACATCATTTCAGAAGAACGTCCTAACATAAGCACAAAAAGATAAATCATGATCCATATTAATGAGGGTTTGGCAAAACTTTTAATATTGGTCATCAACCTGACGCAATCCTCCTCCCTTATCTAGACTTGGAACAAATATTATAAGACACTCTCACACTAGCAGAGTAGACATTATGAAGACACGCTTTTTTTTTTCTTCATGGGGATAGACAACAAGGGGTAGACCATCCCCTATCCCTTTAAACCCCCCAACCCTAGTGGTAGCGGGCTTTGATCCCAGGTCTATGCTACAATGAGTATTGTTTGTACCAATCATTATTGTGCCCATATGATTGTTTGTATTAATCAATATTGGTTGACGCATTGGTCCATTAATGACCAATACAAGCCATGTTTTTTTTTTTTTTTTTAATTCAAATTTTAGTGTTCATTAATTGCATTATCCAACCCATTAAATCCCATTTTGCATTAATTGTTTCCATACCCACTTTTTATGTCTCATTTACTGTGATCCTTGTAGATTTTTTTCTTTTTTTATATTTCAAATTTGAAATTAAGCCTTTTATAAGTTACCACTATTAATTAACACCATTAATTTTAGATTTTCAAATCTTTCCATTAATTTCTTCTCTATTTATTAAACACAAATTAAAAGCAATTCACCTTACAAGCCATTAGCAAGATTTAAACCTACATCTTACAAATTAGAGGTATGTTAGGAAGCCGTGCTATGGGAGGTCAGATTGGTCCCACTTAATATTTCAAACTGATGGGGTTCAGAATTAACGGCAGTCGGACTCCTGCGTTGTATCCCACTTCTCTCTTGTTCAACCAAACATGCTACAACCACCGACATTCAGCTCTAGTCGTTGAAATCACAAAGATGCAACCGGAGGCAGTTCTAATTCTAAATCTAATAGATCCCAAGGAAAACAATTGGTTTCAGATATTACGATCCATCTATCACATGGTGAATGGTGAAGGAAGTAAATGATATAACCAAACCAAAGAATGAAATAAGTAAAAGCAACTGAGTACCATTTCTCTCTTACTCTGTTTCTAGATTTCCAAATTCCAATTTGCAGGTGCTCTCTATTGCTATTATCGGATTCCAGCATATATGCTCTATTAATGTTTCTCCTTGTGAGGAAACGATTTCTCACTTTTCTTTCTTACTAGCGAAGAAGTGATATATATGCAGCCTACAAACAGATTAAAAAGAAAAGATGGCAAATCATATAGATTTTGTTCCTTTATTTTTAAATGAAAAGAGGAACATGTATCTGAGTTCTGGGTTTTGGGAGTCGATGAGGATGAGAAGGATCCCCTATTTCATACATACAGTAGTAGATTAATGAACTTGGAGAGTTGAGAACTTAGGGAAGCTTGTAAGACAAATTCCAATATTTCTATCACCTGAAAAAGATTCACGCCTAATCCATGGGTAATGGAGATTTTGCTTCCCATTTCAATTTTTTTTTTGTTTTTTTATTAAAAGAAAATCGATACTTGGAATTTATGAAATTAATTTTGCTGTGTGGAGGAATCCCATTATCATTTCAACCATCCAGACATTGCATATCAACCATGTCTTCGTTCTTCTCGAGCTGAAGATTATTCACTGGTGGAAGAATCTACTGTCATTTCAGATGAGAAGATTATTCGCAATGAAAATGAAGATTAGTAGAGATGAAAAAGCAGAACTGAACATCGGTGGTTGTAGCATGTTCAGTTGGACGAGAGAGGAGAAGGGAGATAGAGCGGAGGAGAGATGAAAATAAAATGACTGAGGTAGGTTGGGCGCCCAAGGCTAAACTCCGTCAATTTGAAATGGTAAATGGGACCAATGACGTGTTCAATTACTATTGGTGGGGACAGAAAATTTTCTGTCCCTTAGGGACAGACGATGTGAGTTCGTGCTATAGATGGTCTTTGTTAAGTAAAATTGAAATATAAGGAGTTTTATGACATTTCTAATGAGGTTAAAGCGAATCAATCCATCCAAAGCTATGTATTATATGATAAAAATTATATTAATTTTTTATTATTTTACATTAAATTTAAATGGATTTTAATTTTTATTAATTATTGTTTGCAATTCAAAGGCTTTGTTAAACAAAATTAAAAGTAGAAGTTGCCTCAAGACATTTCCATTTGGGGAGAACCGATCCAAGTCCAACCTAGAGCTGTTAGTCTACCTAATAAAACCAAGCCAACCCAACCAATTATAATGGCTCTTTTTCTATGCTGTGTCATGATTATTAATTGGTTTGATTATGGATCTGTTTTGTAGGGCTGATTAATAATCGGTTCAGGATCAATCCACCCTGTCTCGAACGTAACCCAACCCATTAACAGCTCTATTCCAACCCAAGTATTATTTTTTCATTATATATTATAAAATAAATTTGTATTACTTTTAGATATATTTTATTAATGATCATTTATTAATAATTTTATTTTATGCAAATTTTAATTAATTCTTATTATTTTTAGGGAAAATTTCCAATAGGTATTAGTGTACTCCAGGTCGAGTGTCAATTTAATACCTGAATTTTAAATTGCGACAATCAAATACACAAACTTTCAGTTTGCGACAATTTAATACCCGGTATTAAATTATCATCAGTTAGAAGATAAAATATCCTAAATACCCCCAACTATTTTGAATAATGTATGAATTACCGAATAAAATTACTAAAGTATCCTCATCATCTATTTCGACCAATGCAAGTGAGAACCACTATTCACGCTTGTAGTTACTGAGATTCCGAAAACCAGCTCCCTCACGCCGGTGGTGTCAAGCGAATGCGCCGCTGGAAAAGTTGATTTCCTCGATCGAACACGACGCTGGAAAAGTTGAAGTCGATCCAGTACCGTTGCCGAAGAAGACGACTCCTATTGCCCGTCACTGGAACATTATTGTGCCCACTTTTTTCCTTAATCGTTGCCGGAGAAGACGACTTGTTGTCGGCGCCGGAGTTGTCTATCATTTTCTATGCATTTTTTAACACCGACTTCTTGATTTATCTGCAAGTGGGTTACTAAGATTTTAATATAATATTTTTTAGGGTTTTGATTTTTTTAGTGTTTTTCATTGCTTTAACTATGGACACGAGCCGATCGTTCGTCAGGCCATTGATCTCGTTGATAACCTCTGCGGTTCTGATGATCCCTCTGTTTCTAGCGATTTCATTGCTCGGATTACTGAACGTCTTTCTTCTTCTGCTTTGTCTTGAAGCCGTCGACATGTCTACTCGGTAAGGTTCTTTATTTCTTTTAGTAATTTCTGTTTTCATTCTGGTTAGATATCGAGTTCTTTACTTCTTCATCCAGATTCGAACTTGAAGTTCAAACTCTCCTAGTTTCGATTTTCTTTATTCTTCTTATTCAAGCTTTTTTGGACAAATTCAAAGTATTTTGCTTTATCTCAATTGGATTTTTCTATTAAATTGGAGAAAATTTTGGCAGGCGCATAGATCTGTGTTTTCAATCTCCATCCAGCCATTCTTTCTGGCCAAGTTTGTGTTTGAATCCCAGGACTCGGTGAATAACCACCCTGAACCAGAAACCTACCTGGATTTCTCATTCACCATCCAACCTTTCTGGGAAACCAAAGGTAACAAACACTAAAACTGAGCCAAAAGTCAAGTGGGTTGTTAGACTAAGCTCAGCAGAACCAAGCCTCCCACCAAATTCAATGATTGAAGGGAATCCGCTACTGGATTTCGTGAAGGAGGATTTCATGCGTATCTTTGATGATTAAGAGCTTGCTCGAACGATGTACGACGAGTTCATCATATACCGAGATCTGGTCACCAAGCACAACACCCTGGGTGGTTTTCTTTTCAATCTGGCACTCTTGAAGACGCTTCTCCGGTCAGAGTTTCAGTTGCACAACGTCAAACAAGTACTCCCCTCTCTTGTTACTGATTTAATTTCTGTACAAGACGATGCCAAATTTTTAATGTTTTTTAAGCTTACTAACTTGGCATTGAATTGTTGAGTCGTTATACAGGGTCACTTCAACCCGAATTTCTTAAGAACAAAATGAAGAAAGAATTTCCACCTCCGATCTTCTAAAATTTCGTAATCTGTCATTTTGGTGAAAAAAAACCCATCTGTAAAGGTTAGTTTTGATATTTCAAAATTTTTAACCCACACCTGATATCACGTGAGTCTTCTAATTGACAGTAATTACAATCCCAAGGAAATAAGGTGTACAACAAACACATTCTTATGATTTCATTCAAACCATTCCGATTTATAATTGCCGTGTTTGTTGCAAAAGAGACACGAGTGTTATATTGATATCCAAATAGATATGGACTTTAGTGAGAGCGACACAGATTACTATCCTTTGGTTATTGCCAAATCGATTGATAATCAATGTTGGGTATTAAATTGTCCCAAACTGAAAGTTTGGGTATTTGATTGTCGCGATTTAAAGTTTGGGTACTAAATTGGCACTCGGCCTAAAGTACAGGATACTTATCGGGAATTTTCCCTTATTTTTAAATGGACATAAGGGTAATAAATGTAATGTTTATTATTTTAAAATGGAACTTAAATTAATGTTGATTTAATTTATTTATTACTAATTAAAATATTATTTAATAAATAAGTTACAAATTTTATATTATTGAGTAAATTAAAAAAGTAATCATGTTTAGATCATTGAGGTGCCAAACGACCACCACATTATCAAAAAAGTGACCGCATTGTCTAACCCCATGAAGCCAAGAAAATACCGAGTTACATAAAAGAAAAAATAAAAGTTATAAAATCAATAAAGGAAGGCATGTATGAACCCCACAGCCCAATCGTATTTGGGTCACAAAGGCCCCTTTTTCTTTACTTGATCAACCAAATAGGTTTTACAAACCCTGTTTGAACTTTGAAGTAAGGTTCAAAATATTGATTAAGAGCTTCCCGGTATGCCCCTACAGAGGGTGTATCGGGGTTATGATCGGTACTCGCATATCCTTACTTTGAAGTACTCTCCAAGCCAAATGTTACTGAGTTTGGGACGCTCTGGCCTAAGACCCAACATCAATTGAATGCTTGATAGAGATTCTACAGGCCTTCTTCTAAACTGTTCCTGAAGGGAATCCAAACTTGAGTTTTCAAAGATTTTGCCAAGAAAGGTAGTCAATACGTTATGTTTTATTTACTAGTGATGAGTTCTATTCTTCAGTGATTGTGAGATTCTAGAAACAAAATTATTTTTGAAGGGGTTGAACGTTTTTCCACAAAAGCCTGTTAGATGGTGTATTAATACAACTTGTATAAAGAATGTTTACGATCTTGTCGGAACGTGACACCTGTATTAGAGTTTGGGACGGCTAGCTTGGTAAATTCTCCTGCTAGTTCTGGTGGAGGTCAATATTCGAATTTTGGCTTCACGAGGGATTGGGGATAGGACTGAAAATAGTATCCACTTGTATAAATTCAATTCACTTAAGGATGATATGAAATCAATCTGATGGTGCGCAATCCGGTCGGTCCTAGCTGCCGGTTACCTCGCCTCTGTTGAAATTGGAGGTGCCTGAAACAAGGGAGAAAATGGAGACTTACGGGAAGGAACCCGGTTGGAACATTCCGAAGCTCAAGTTAGTGCTCTTAAGAAGGCAAGGGAAATGAGGAACTTCAAGACCAAAAAACGCAGAAATCACACATACCTCCTTCTTTGGGAGATGGGGGCCTTATATAATCACCCTGTACACTCACTCCCATACCTCTGCCAAATTGGGTATCATCACCTCCGCTAGATCGGATGTCATCATCTCTGCCAGACGCCAGTTCGGGTGTCATAACTGCCACTGTCTATCCTTGTCAGGGCCGTCTCTGCCACGTCTGAGATGGCGGTGGCAGGTGGCCGTTTGGAGGGCGGTTGTCATGTGTCGGACCCCTAATCAGTCAGGCGTGCCGCCTCCATGTACGGGCTTCCTTAGCGTCAGGTACAGTTGTTCAGTTAGGCGACTTGGAGTCGAAGTGGTGTGCGAGGTGAAGTCTTGAGTTCGAATAGAAGT